TCCCCAGAGGCGGCGGCGAGCTGGGCCCGGGCTGCTCTCGCCCTCGCCGGCGCTCTCCGCGGTCGGCTTGTTTGTATCCCGGCCGCCGTGTGTCGGGCAGCTCGGCTCTCTGCTGGGTTTCACCACAGCGGGTGTGTGCAGGAATATGTTGGCCAGAGACACAGAGACCATAGGTACATGGCAGCTTTATTTAGTGAAAAAGTTAGAAATAATCTCAGACCCACAGGGGAGAGATGGGGGCATTTGCGGTCGCCTCCGTTCCTATGGATCTGGAGGCAGTTGTGGTAACAAGTTGGAGGAAAGATCTATTAGCCAAAAAGGGTTCCAAAGCGAGGACGGTGGCCCAGATCTTAGAAAATGAAATTTAATTTATGGATGTCACATTATGTACTTACAAAAAAAATAAGTAGCCCACAACGCAGATTGCAAATCTAAAGGATGAAATTTTCCAGAATGCAGGCAACCCTTGGGAGATTTTGTTGAGTCCTGGGCATTGCGTTGTGAGAGGCCGACTAGGATGTTGAGGGGAGAAGCCACGTTGGTTCGGCCAACGTTGACCTCCTGTGCTGAGTATCGGATGTGAAGCATGTGAAATAATCTTAGGTAAATAGGCCTGCTTAGCTTGGAGCAGCCTGGAGATCCATGTTAACTGACGTACAGTACAGCATTTGGAAGCCTGACTGGAAGATTTTTATTTTTATTTTTTTAAATATATTTTATTGATTTTTTACAGAGAGGAAGGGAGAGGGATAGAGAGTTAGAAACATCGACCAGCTGCCTCCTGCACACTCCCCACTGGTGATGTGCCCGCAACCAAGGTACATGCCCTTGACCGGAACCGAACCTGGGACCCCCTCAGTCCGCTGACCGAACCGACGCTCTATCCACTGAGCCAAACCGACCAGGGCTGGAAGATTTATTTTGTGTAGACCAAAAGACAACTAGGACTAAATTAGTGAAAATTATTTGGAGATGATTTCAGCTCCACTACACGGACGTTAAAAAAATTATTTTTTAATTGAGGCAAACTTTCCCCAAACAAGTGCCTTGGGAGATTAAAACAATAATAAAACGTAAAAAGCAGAGTCTGGTGGGCAGATAGATTTAGATGGGAAAACTAGATGACTGTTACAAATCTAGAGATTCTTTGAGTTGTGGACAGAGTTGCTCTGTAGGTAAATGGCTGTGAGATATTAACATTTTAGATGTTAAAGGGTTTGGTAGAAAGCTTGTAATTTATTTAATAGAAACCTTGGTAACCAAATAATAAACATCTGAACATCAGAAGCCACATAAAAGTAACATAAAATGAAAAAAGTTTCAAATCAAGTGTTTCTAAATATCAAAGTCTTCTTTTGGTCCAAACAGTTTACTAGTATCTTGATAGAATTGCAGCAATTATGTAAAATCGTGTTTTTTCCCCTTTATCATTTCTTTTACTTAAGCACTTTACTTATTTTTATGTATTCCTCATCTTGTTCTAACAACTATTTGATCTTATTTTAGATTAACATCACAGTAGGCCTAACCATTCCCCTGCAGCTGGAAATTTTGAATGTTTATATAAATATAAATATATGTATCTTTTTTTCATAATGCTCAGTGGTAAGTAGCCCTGTACCAATACCAATTGTTTTTTTTTTCTCTTTTGAATTATACCTTGGGTATAATAATACCAGGTCAAAAGGATGTTACATTTTGTGACATTTGTTCCCAGTTGCCAACTTACTTTTTTAATAATTTGCATAAGTTAACTGCTGAATTTTTAACAGTCAAGAAAGAAAAATGCCCTCTTACTCCCACCCCAATCCCGAATTATGTGTGTTAATTCTGATGATGGATGGTTTTATATTAGTTTCCCTTTTCTGTAAGTAGAGTGTAGTTGAAGCATATTAGAACGTATATTCGATTGAGTGGCTAGAAGATTTTACAAGTGTGGTTTTTTTTTAAGGATCCCTCTTGTCAACAAATATTTAATTTCTATTAAAGGCATTAAGAAAACTCAAGCTAAGTCTCTCCTTAAATCAATAATATATAGTAACTTCCTCTTTAAAGTTTTTACATATTTAATGCGAGGCCTGATTCTCAGAAATAATGACAACTCTGGTAAATATCTTAATAGTACATACTTAACTTAAGTTCCATTACAGTGTGTCTAGTTGTTATTGTATTGCTTATTTGTTTAGGAAACATAAACATGTTTTTAATAGCTGCTTTATGAAAAAAAAAATGAGATAGGCTGTTTCACTCTGGACAATGACAGTGTAGCAGTTGTAGACTCTGCTTTGCAGTGCTATGGAAGAAAAGCAATTTCCACTCTGAGTCTGCCTTTAAGAGCAGATGGTAATAGCTAGTGACATTTGGCTCCCTTGAATGAGCTACTTAGAGAATCATACTTAGACTTTGTTGAAATAAAAATCTGAAAGATAACTTTTCAGCAATTGTGTAAAAGTTTAAGAGACCAAAAGTATTTTCATTTTCTATTTATGACAATTAGGGCAAAAAAAAGTTACAGTTCACATTGTTGCCTGTTTTTCCTTCCCTATTTAGATACAGCGGTTAAAAAAAAAATTGACTCTCATGATGACTCTGCATTCTTAGTAAACACTTGGGGAGATCCTTAATTACCAATTATCGTATAGTATTTACAGACAGTCCTTATCTACCAGAGACGACTTATCTATTTCAGGTTAGGTCACATTTCTAAGACTGAGGCTTTTAAGATAAATTTGTATGGTTTTGCCCTTTGGAAGTATAGTGTATCTTAATACTCTGACCTTTAAAAAGCTTTCCCTGTCATATAAACTTTTAAAATAGAACAACGAAAAACATCTTCTCATTCTAAAGTCAGAAAATTATTTACTTCTAGATCTAAAAGCTAGCTCTTAAACTTTGAATATAGTAGATCTTTTCCCCTTGAATTAGTTTGCTTTGAAATGAAATGGTTTTGATCCTAAAGGCAACTTTTTTCCCAGTGAAACAGCTTTAAGGGCATTAGCTCTATTTATCTAGAAAGGGCCAGTTTTGAACAGAGAATTTAGAAGTGGAACAGAGTTAATAACATATTTCCACAAAAAGACATACAAGCATGTTCATAGCAGCCTTATTTATAATAGTCCCAAACTAGGAGCAATCCAAGTATCTACCAACAAGAGAATGGATAAACAAATTATGGCATATTCAGAGTGAAATACTGGTTAACAATGAAAAGGAATGAATTACTGATCCACTGATGAATCTAAAAAACTATATTGAGTGAAAAAAGCTTTGATTATAGAAATCAGTTGTGGAAGATAGACTAAAAAGGGGCAGAATAATACTTTCTGAGGTGATAGAAATATTATACACATTTTCAGCTGAGGCTACAGGGTTGTATTTAATTGTCACAACCCAGAGCTAATCACCTGTCAGTTTGTTGTATGTAAATTGTACCTTTTTTTTTTTTTTTAAAAAGAAATGAACCAAAAGTGAGTTTTCTCAATAGGAAAGTATAATAAAACATTAAGTTCAAACTAAAGAGTTGCATTTATTAATAAGTAAATAATAAAGGTTATTTGTGAAATATTGAAGAATTTTATTTTAGAAAACTTTTTTTTGAGACCTTAGGAAAATATTTACATAGTTACTATAAGTTGTAAATGTTTTTCCCCCCTCTTTCTAATTAGACCAACTATAGTTAAAAGTCAGTTTAATTAATGATTATATTAGCCTTTGTAGAGAACGATTTCGATCTCATTGAACATTTTCTTCCATATAACTATTTTGCAATTTAAAATTCCTCAAGTCAGGTGTTTATTGAGTACTTACTATGGGCCAGGTAGTGTTCTTGATACAGTGACGCTGTTCATAATAATGAATGGAAAATAGATTTAAAACTTGATTATTTTATTTTATTTGCCCTTAAGTCTTGAGTAGTCTGTATTAGGTTTGAAGGCGTATGGTAAAGCCACCCATTGAAAATATTTTACGTTTATCTTTCTGAAGTTCAGAAATAGAAGTCATTTGTGTATCTTACCTGCAAATGATACATAAGAAAATGATATAAAATTATCAGCAGCCAAATTGCAATATTATTTTATGGTATCATATGTAACCTTTTAAAAGGGCAGAAAAAAAACTATCCTAGTTTCTTAGAATATAGTTCTTCATTAAGACCCATGTGTGTCTGTCTATATATACTTTTTAAAATGTTTTTGTCATTGAATTTGTTTATATATCTTGATCAAGAATAGGGTGTGATAGCTAGCCCATCTACATAAAAGGTTGAATCTACTCCCTCTTAATTTTATTTCTTCTAAGGAGATAATTTCTTTTAACTGTATCTAAAGTTTCAGAAAATTGGTGTTATAAAATTGCTTGCTACTCAAGTTGCTTTGAAATATTCTTTCTAGATTTTGTTTTTCTAACGGTACTGATTCTTTTACTCACCTTCTTAATCTTCTTATTGTTTATCTTAATAGTGGGAAATAGAATATTACAAAATGAATATTACATGGTCAGTATTAATAATATTAGTGTGTCTGATTTATTTTCTTTTCTAAAAAATTAGAAACAGGTGATTTAAAAAACATTGGAGCTCTGACCGGTTTGGCTCAGTGGATAGAGCATTGGCCTGTGGACTGAAGGGTCCCGGGTTCGATTCCAGTCAAGGGCATGTACCTTGGTTGCGGCACATCCCCAGTGGGGGATGTGCAGCTTGCGGCTGGTCAATGTTTCTCTGTCATCCATGTTTCTAACTCTCTATCCCTCTCCCTTCCTCTCTGTAAAAAATCAATACAATATATATTTAAAAAGATACATCTCCTTTAAAAATAAATAAATAAATAATAAAAATAAAGAACATTGGAGCCCTGGCTGTTGTGGCTCAGTTGGTTGAGCACTGTCCCATGCACTGAGAGGTTGCCAGTTGGATTCCAGGTCAGGGCACGTGCTTAGGTTGTGGGTTTGATCCCTGTGTGATGTTTCTTTCTCCTTCCCTCTCCCTCTCCCTCTACCTCTCTTCCCTCCTCTCTCCCTCTCTCCCTTAATACTTGAGGCATCTTCTTGCCCTAAGTGAGGTTAGCACTTCCCCTGTAGCTCTCTCAGTGGGTGTCTTTTTCTATCTTTCTGTGTGTTTCTGGGATGAGAGGCCAAGGCAGTTGGCATCTTTTAGGCACTGCAGAGCTGCTTCCACACTGGAACTGTTTTACTCTCCTTCAAAGAAAACTGTCTTCTTCCCTCCATCAGTATCCCCCTTTGCTGGTATCTGTTGAACTTTAGTCTCTTCCTTACGTTTTTTAAGGATGATGACATATCCTATTTTTTCCTTTCCTTTACAATACCGCACGTTCTTGTCATGCTTAAAGCTGCCCTTCTTATATTGTCTTTTTTTTTTTAAATTGAGGCCAATACCATCATACATCCAGATAATGAAACCAGAAATCTGGGAATCATGAAGAAGCTTCACTTCCTGTATTTACCTCATGCTCTATACTTTTAGTCAGTTACCAAATCCTATTGATTTGAGCTACCTGAGTTAGCAGGTCTTATATTTCCAGGTGAATGAGGGTTGGTCACAGACCTACGCTGAGATCCCGATGAAAGCTGTACACCATTTCCTCAGAAAATGCACACACACGTGCACATCTGCTTTTCTAGGGATCCATTAGTTCTCTCTTTGCTTTAATGGCCACTGTCTTAGTTTCAGCTCATCTTATTTTTTTCTCTAGCCCTCTCTGCTCTTCCTTAGTGTTTCTCCACTAACCCATCTTCCATCTAATACCAGTGTAATTTCATAAGTGAACAGTTTTTCAGTTACATTAATATTTCAGATATTTCAGTGGTTCCCTTTTATGTCAGGGCCTTCCATAGTCTGGCACTGGCTCACTGTTACACACCCTCTTCTCTTTCATTGTATCCCAGCAATACTGTGGCACTTAGTTTCCTAAACTTTTCATGTATGTCATACCTCTGTGCCTTTGCCTATTCTGTTTCTTCTGTGTAGAATGTGGCTCCTCTTCCCCTCTGCCTGTGGACTCCTATGTTTAGTCACTTTCAGAAACCTGCTTAGGTATCAAATCCTCCTCTTTGTTCAATCCTGTCAAGAGTTAATCACTTTGTCCACTGTATCGCTTACTCATGAGTGTACATAATACACAGTACTGTAATTCTTTTTTATAGATCTATATTCCATACTAGGCGGAAAGCTCTTTTGGGGTAGGAACTGGACTGCGTCTTCTAATCTCTTCTAAATTGTATACCCTATAAGAGCAGGAACCTTATCTAACTATCAGCCTGTATCCCCAGCACCTAGTGCAGTATTTGGAATGTGGTGGGTACTTGTATTGTTGAACAAATGAATGAATTATTGTTATTCCTATTTTACAGACCAAAGAAACCTGACTCCAAGTATACGAAAATCTGCATTTACACAACAGATAAACTGTGAATTAGTTATTTGAAATCCTGCTCTATGCCAGGCACTGTAGTAAGCACTGGGTATCTACAGACAAATAAGACAGCTGCTGCACTTGCATTTAGCACAGTATCTCCACATCGTAGGTACTTAATAATTACTTAGTAAAAAAAATGGAAAAGAAATTATTTAACAATAGCATATTGATCAGATTTCTTCATTCAGAAATATTTATTAAGCATTTAAATTGATGAAAGAACCCAGAAAGAAGGGATTGTATAAGAGCAAACTTTCTAGAATGACAGAAATACCCTATATTTTGTTTTAGGTGGTGTTCACAGATCTATATAGTTGACAAATTTATCAAATTGAGCACTTAACAAAGTTCAACAGGCTGAACACTAAGTTAAGCCTCAATATGAAATAAAATAAATTGAGCCAAGCATTATTTACACACCAAGGAGACAGTGGTGATGCAGACAAATAAGGCCCCTGCCCTTGTAGATCTTCTGTTTTGACGGGGGATATGATAGTTGGGTATAGCCATTAAAGTTCATGTTTCCAAAGGATACTAAGGAATTGGAAAATGCTTCTGAAATAATATTAAGTGAAAAAATTATGATATAGACTGTATGGTCTATATCATATGGTATCAGTTTTGCTTTTTGTATTTTAAGTATTTAAAGCATATATGTATGTACATCAACAAGTTTTTAAAAACACCCCAGAACATAGAAATATAAATGTTACTTACTCTTGACTGGTGGGATTGAAAGTTACTTTTTTATATTTTTCTATATTTTAAAAAATAAATCCTATTTTTTATAATCCTAAAATAAAAATAAAAAATATACTGTACAAAATATGCATTATACCTAACAATTAGTAGGTGACAGTTTTTTCATCATAGTATCAAAAATATCTGTAATAGCACAACATATATCAAACAGGTTCATAGGAAATAGCTGGTCTTAAAAGTTTTTTAAGTTGCTTGTTTGATTTTTCTGTATTTCATATTTCTTTACTAAAATCAGCATTAATAAAGTGATTTCTAATTGAGCTTTATAGGCTATATTATTTTCCTTTATAAAGCTTGTCTGTAGTTAAAATGAAGTTTATCATTAAGAAGCCGATTATACTAAAAGTGTTATATAAGTTATTATTTTGTTGTCGGAGATATTAGTACCTTTCATTACTTTATATCACCGGTTTTCGACCAGTGTGCTGCAAGAATTTTTAAAACATGCAATAACTGACTATTTAGTCAGGAATACTGACCTCTTTCCTCAGATTGTAACCCCCCCCCGCCAAAAAAAAACAAATGACACCCTTTTGCTCTAGCCAGTTTTGCTCAGTGGATAGAGCGTTGGCCTGTAGACTAAAGGGTCCCAGGTTTGATTCCAGTCAAGGGTACATCCCTGGGTTGCAGCTCAATCCCCAGTAAGAGGCATGCAGGAGACAGCTGATCAGTGATTATCTCTCATTATTGATGTTTCTATCTCTCTCCCTCTCCCTTCCTCTCTGAAATCAAATAAAAGTATGTTACATATTTTTAAAAATCGATGTTAAGGTTTTCATCTTTACATTCTTTTGTTCTTGTTTTTTCATTCTCGTCTTTACTTTTTTACTTTTTTTCTTGCTTCCCCCCTCCCCCATTCATTTACTTTTTGACTTTGAGTTATTTAACCTCTTTTTACTTTTTAATTTTGTAATATACAGTATGATACTTAATGTTATTCTACATTCAACAAACATCTATTGAATAACTACTGTTTCAAGATACTGTACTGGATGTTGGGGCCAATATTCATATAAGGCAGTGGTTCTCAACCTGTGGGTCGCGACCCCTTTGGGGGTTGAACGACCCTTTCACAGGGGTCACCTAAATACATCCTGCATATCAGATATTTACATTACGATTCATAACAGTAGCAAAATTACAGTTATGAAGTAGCAACGAAAATAATTTTATGGTTGGGGGTCACCACAACATGAGGAACTGTATTAAAGGGTCGCATCATTAGGAATGTTGAGAACCATTGATATAAGGTAATTGCCTGATCTAGAAGATAAGTGTAAATAAATACTTGCAATATAATGTGATGAGTAAGGAAGGGACTGACATTTATACTCTACATTATTCATTCAGTAAGTCATTCATTAAACACTTCTTAGGAGTCTGCTTAGTTCCAGAAGAGTAATAGCACACAGCTCCTTTTCTTACAGACTTATGGAAGTCCGCTTTATAAATAGATAACCATTTATACTAATAAAAGGGTAATATGCTAATTAGACTGGATAGACTGGACATCTTCCGGACGACCTGGACATCCTTCCCGACAAAGCTGGGGCCCGGGCGGCACTGCCCAGGGTCCCAGGTGCCTGCAGCCAGCCTGGGTGGTGCTGTCCGGGGTTCCGGGTGCCTGCGGCCAGCCCGGATGGTGCCGCCTGGAGAAGGGAAGCCTGGGTCCCATGTGCAGGGACTGAGGCAGAGGTGGTTAGAGGCAATCAGGCAGGCAGGCAGGCAGGTGAGCAGTTAGGAGCCAGTGGTCTGGATTGCAAGAAGGTACAGGCCGGGCTGAGGGGCAGTCCTCCCCCACTCCCCCACCCCCATGCATGAATTTTGTGCACCTGGCCTCTAGTCTATATATATAAAAGCCTAAGCGACCATCCGACCGGTAGCTATGACACACAATGACCACCAGGGGACAGATGCTCCGACTGGGAGCTATGATGCACACTGACCACCAGGGGGCAGATGCTCAACGCAAGAGCTGCCGAGCTGCAGTGACTTGGCAGCTGCGGTTCTCAGGTGATGCACCTGGAACCAGAGAGGAGGGAGCCAGGGTGTGTCACCTGAGAACTGCCCTCTTGTGAACCAGGACCCCTCGGGAGATGTTGGAGAGCTGGTTTCGGCCCGATCCCCGCAGGCCAGGACCAGGGACCCATGCACCCAGCCTCTAATAGTTTGATAAAAGAACATGAGGAAAAAAGGTCTTGGGAACATATTAGGAAGTGATTAATTTTGCTTTGTGAATCAAGGAAGACTTTTGGAGGAGGCAGTAGTTGACCTTAGTCTTAAAGGGTTTACCCAAATGAGCCATAGATCAGAGATAGGCATCACAAACAGAAGGAATTACTCATGCAGAGAACATGGGAAGGCTGCTACTCGGTAATAGCTTTGGGGTGGCTTCAAGCACTTGAGAGATGAGATGCTTGTGAGAGATGAAGGTGTCAAAGTAGCCTGGCCATGCTATAGAGTTGGTACTTACAGAAACAATGGTCTGTTGCAGCATCATCCAAAAAATTTTTGTGATGATGGAAATCTCTGTGCTGGTAACTTCAGTAGCCACTTAGGCACATGTGTGGCTGTTAAGCTGTGCTGAAATGTGACTAGTGTGTCTAAGAAACTGGATTTTGAGTTTTACTTAATTTTAATTATTTAAATTTGAATGGTCACACCTGTGTTTTAATTATGTTTTTTACTTTGTATATTTTATGATGCTTTGACTTGACATCTTGGGGCCTTGATGGCCTTGGAGAACATGCCCCTCCCAGGAACAGCTAATTCCCAAAGATAATAAACAACTTGCTGGTAGAGCTCACCTTTCATATGCAAATCAACCAATCCAAAGCCTACACCTTACCCTACCACCTGTATCTAAATCACTTACCAACCGGGATTTCCCCTGTCCCAAATCACCCTGGGTCAGGTATGAAACAACTAGGGACCACCTCAACAGCTGAGAGCCCACTGAAATTATTCACTCCTAAACTGCTTACCCTGCCCCACCTTGCTGTTCCCTGGAAGCCACAATAGTCTGTGTCCAGGCTTTCCTGTCACCTTCCACCTGATCAACCCTGGTACTTTCCCCGTGTCCTGTGTGGCATGGTGTGTCCCCTCGTGGGAACTGTAAGTAATAAACTTTTCTTTCAAGGCAGTTGTCTTTGTGTCTGTCATCTTATATCTGATTACAACAAAACCTTGAGTACAAATCAAAACAGTCTGGCTAGTGGCTACTATATTGTACAGCACAGATCTATAGATAGGTCTCTCCCTCCCAAGAAGCAGTTCTTTTTCATTTCTAGAAGTTTAATCAAAGGATCTATGTGGAATGTTCCACTTTGGTTATGAGAATAGAATAGCCAGCATGACAGGTAAGATACTTATCCTACAGAGCTTCGTTCTGGTGACTAAAAGATTACACCCATTGCCCCCAAATTCCTACCGTATAGCATTAAGTTGAGCTGGCAAAATATTTTTGCAAAGGAGTTGCCACTAATATTTTTAGCCTCTACTAAAAGCTAATATTTTTTTCTGAGCCAGGCATAAATAGGTTGTTTCATGTAGAGCTCATAACAAATCTTTGGCATTGTGTTCCATAAAAAATAGTTTCATGCCCTGGCTGATTTGGCTCAGTGGATAGAGCGTCGCCCTGTGGACCGAAGGGTCCCAGGTTCGATTCCAGTCAAGGGCACTTGCCTGGGTTGCAGGCTCGGTCCCCAGTGGGGGGCATGCTGGAGGCGGCTGATCAGTGATTCTGTCTCATCATTGATGTTTCTATCCTCCTTCCTCTCTGAAATCAATAAAAATACATTTTTTTAAAAAGTTTCATTTTGGAAAAATTGGCATTAAGCCAATCTTTTAATAGTTACATAGTAAAAACAGTTATCTCTGGAGAGTAGTTTTACCAGGAAAAGAACAGATAAAATGTTATATCTGTTGGATTTGATTCATGGTGGATGAGAACAAACTTACTGTCCTGGACTAAACCTGCTTAAGTACAGTTTACCCACATGAAAAACGGGAATAATTATGGTACCTGCCAAATATAATTTTTTAAGCTAACAGTATTAAATGAGATAAAACAGTTGCACTCTTAGTATATTCATTATCTTTAACATTTATTAGTATGCCTTGGCACATAATCTTCCGTTTTTTCCTACTAAGCTATTTTTACATAGTGCTTAGAAAGGTACCCA